TTCTCTATGTTTATGATTTGATTTTGGATATGAATATAAATATGTTTATTATTTATCATTTTTTATTGTTCTGTACTTTCAGACACAAACAATAACTAGTGCCTTAATAAAGGCCAGTCTTGAAAACGAGTGCAGCCAAGATTGCCCACCCAATGGGCCTTTAGAGGTTGTTTATAACATCTGACCGATTCTAATGGACTTATTTTCTTTCAAACTTGATCAACTTTCACTTTGGTCCTGGACAACAAGTTTGGACTTGATACGACATATGACCGACCCTATTCATTGGGCCATTAGACATCATTAGTCGATGTAACTCATATAAACTTGAGCTCTTTTATTGGGCCTCAAAAAAAGTTATGTAAATTTTAAATTTTGTTAATTATATGTAATGATGTCCACTCTAATAGTTTATGAAAAAAAATTTGGGGAGGTACACTTTTTTTAAAATATTCTTGAAAAAGTCTATTGCCCAAACTTTTAAGTTAATAAGTATACTTTCTATAAAACATTTGGTGGCTAAGTGCATATTTTCAAATTTTAATATTTTAGTAGAACTTAAATGCCCTTACTTATTTTTGCAATATCTAGTAGTTTCCTTTTTTTTTTTTTTATTCTGTTTTTATTGACCAAGTAATTTCTTATTTTAATGGGCAATAATAGTTTGAATTTTAAAAAGATTACAAAAATATATTTGACAGTTAACATTTTTGTTGTATATTGATCCAAACTGTAATCAATTTTTTTATATCTTATTTTTCATGTCTTCATTTTTCATATTCATCGTTTTCAAACAACCACTGATACCCATTATCAGTCTTCTACAATATGGGTCATCAATTTTTCTGGTATTTGATGTCACATTATGTTTAAAATTACGTCACTTTTAATGTCCAACTATTTTTTAATTATAAAAGACTATTTTTAAAATTATGTCACCTTTTGATGTCACGTTATTTTTAAAAATATATAAGTCTTTGATGTCACATTATTTTTCTAAGTATGTCACATTATTTTTTAATTATATCACTCTTTATTATGTGAATTCACTATTTGATCTCACTCTTTTATTTACGAACCCAAATTTATGAGGTTTTTGAATTTTTGTAAGAATTTGGGAGTTAATAAGTAAGAACTTTTTTAAAAAATCATAACATTTAAATATAAGAAAATAGTTACTTTTGAAATCTAAGTAGTTACCTTTTTTCATTTAAAGAATTTCGGTTATACAATTTTATGAAAGAATGCATCAATTTAAAAGTTTTCTCCTTGAATCTTGCATGAGCATTCCGTGATTGAAGGAGTTTGAATGAAACTCTATTGAAATAGCAACTCAGTTAATGAATTGATTTTGTTTCTTAATTCGGTTTAGCTAATTCAGTAAATAGATAATTAATGGTATCAGAGTCATTTTAATTTGAAATGTAATTCTTAACAAAAAATTTTGGTGATTGGACTTTTTGACAAATAAGTTATTAAAAGTGTACCGGGCCACAAATATCTCATATTCTTTGTGACTCTTGTGGAGACCTAGGTGCGAATTGGTGTATCGTTAACCATTAATTGTACTTTTTGTATTGACAAAATGTCTCATTCCATAGTTGAATTTATTTTTGCTAATCTAATTGTTACAATAAATTAAGTCTCCAATTAGTCCTCAAATTATATCCCTAAACTATGTTCAAATAGCATTACTGTATATTTATTAGAGATATGATAGGATCAAAAGAAATCTATCAATATCTAGGTAGATATATGATAGGATCCAAAGAAACTATCAATATCTAATTTATTTGGATTCTTATAGATGATGATAGATTTATGTGGTATGTATCTTTTATCGTATGTAATTATCACCATGTAAAATAGGGTTGAACCCCCATATGCTCAAATACCTTTAATAATATATTGACGTAGTTCATAAAGTGTTAGGTCCATCAACTTATGCACATTACATACTTTACCAAATCACGTATATCCCCTATTTCTCGTTTTGGACCTGTTGATGATTTGATTTTGTTTGGTATTGTCATTGACATTTACTTAGTGTGTTGCAAGAATGCTAGTGATTGATGTTTGAAGTTGAATTTGGAATGCAATAATACTAGTGGAATGTTATTGGAGTTGACAGTAGATCTGATTCATTGTCAATCTAATAATAATTGTGATGTAATATATTAGTAAATTAGATTTCAATATAATTGTTGTAAACTAATATTCGACTTTTCGTTTATCATAAAGTTCATTTAATGAGCTGATATCCAAGCCTAAATTCATGAACCCAATTGATGAACTTGGCGACGCGTTCTTAGATTTGGCTGCCGCCTCTCCTGATGTGTTTCATATGGGAAATGTTATTTAGACTTAAAATGTAAACTTGATCAATCACTATTATTAAATATATAATAATTCTTTATTCTTTATAAATATTGGGACCCATAATAAAATTAATGACAGTGATTGATCAAGTTTATCAAGTTTATATTTTAATTTCATATAACATTAATGGGTTGGTTTTTGTCTGACTTCAATTCCAATCCAATTTGAGTTTTATTTGAATTTGGATTTGAATGTAGTAGAATAAAACTATATAAGAGTGAATATTTATTAATTCTTCACAAATGTGAATATTTATTAATTTTTTACAAATGTGAAGATTTATTATATGAAGGCCAGGGCCGGCCCAAAAAGACAGGTCATGTAAGCAGCCACCTTAGGCTTAATATATATATATATTTAATTTTTTTTTTGGGGGGAGGGAGAGGGAGACTTGAATTCTTGATTTCAAAAAAACAAAACCTTTATAAGACAAAGAGTACCATTGAACCAAAGGACCTCCAAACTTCACCTATTACTTTGCCCCAATAAAAAGTTTTAGACATAAAGACCTAATCATATAGAAATGGAAAAATTCGAAGGGGTACATTAAATTGGAGTTAATTATAAAAAAAAATGTAGGATAAAAAAGTCCTTAATTTTGATACTTATTTGTTTCCAAACACATTATTTGAAATTTTTATATTTTCTTTTGACCTTTATATCCTCTTTTGATCTATGCGTATTTTTTTGGAAAGTGATACATTAAATATTTTCTAGTTTTATGGAAGAACTTTAATATTTCATATTTTTATGTCCTCCCTTGATTCATACGTATTTTTTTTGAAAAGTGGTCTTGTTTTTAAATTATATTTAATGCACTTTGATTCATGCATATTTTTTTTTAGAAAGTGGTTTTGTTTTAAAATTATATTAATATCCGAACTTCATAACAATGTAATAATAACAGTATAACAATAACAGTGTAACAAGACATTTACACAAAATATTATATTATTACATTTTGTTAAACATATAATTTCATTCAAAACAATATATCTTTGTTTTGAATTTATTACCATATGCACAAAACCACTGAACACTGTTTTTGTTACACTATTGTAGAGTTTGAATATTAACAAATTTTGAAATTCAACCAAAGTGATATATTCTAAAATAAACAGAATATTAAAGTTCTCCCATTTAATTAGGAGATATTTAATGCATAAATATAATTTGAAAACTAAAACACTTTCTAAAAAAATATACGTATGAATAAAGATGCATTAGAGATTTTGAATTAAATGACCATATATTTCAGCGTTTAAGATAAATATCTTATTATAGTTTTTAGGAAATAAAATTTTATAAAATAGACATTTACATGTTTGTATCTCAGTTATGTATTTTTTTTCAAAATATTTTGTTCTGTGTACTTTTTTACAATTTTGTTTAATTTAGTGTACCTACTTCCAAAAGACCCTATAAAATTTTGTAGAAAAAGTCGAGCTAGAACCAAGAGGCCTAAGAGTCTCTCTCTCAAACAATAATTTTTTTTTTGTTGGGTGGTCCAGTGGGGTAGTAACAAAATTTCTTATTGTGAGGTTAGATGTTTGAGTTTTATAGTTCACATTAGAGCTTGATAGTTGATCACTATGCAAGCCTAGCTAAATTTGTTATCGAGATGAGTAATAGGTGCGGTCAGGGATCTCATGATCCCACTAATAAAGACCTTATATAGATAGTCTCTATGCACTTTCCTTTGTCTTCACCGATTTTTTCAATAGCAAACCAAAAAAAAAAATACTAAATTGTCTCCACATGTTTGTTTGTTATCATTAGATTGAATTTAAAAGTTATTAAATATATTTAATTAATAAATTATTTTTTATATTTTTACTAATATGACAAATATAATTCAATTATTTTTTTTTGTAAAGGTATAATTTATTAGACAATTTAAAAGATGACAAAAAGTCTAAACTTGTACATTATCTATTTAGCACATACTATTATTCCATTTTTATTACGCTAACTATTTATATTAACAGCTTCTTTTGCTCACAAGGATTTTGAATCTTGAAATGTCAACTAGAAAATATAAATCCATCTATTAAAAGCATAAAACTAGAATAAGATATACTAATAAAATGTGAATAAAAAAAAAATAATCACATTTTGCATCAAGAAAAAGTGAGACAAACAAATTTTATCTCACTGGCATGCGCTCTACTTCGCCATATATAGAAGAGAGACCCTTGTCTTGAGAATGAAAAACTAGGGTAAGCGATAACAGAGATACTCTCTTGCGCGAACTATTATATTTTATATTGTTGCAAATATAGTTGATCGATATTTTTTTTGCACAAAAACATGTCAAGAAAAGGAAAAAAAAAAACACAGTTTTAGGAGGTAAAGTGAAATAATTTTTTATTAATTTTGCAATGGACATTAATAATTCAGGTGATATAAAACTAATCACATAATTGAGGTTATAATGTGAAAAATATAATAGTTGAAAAGACAATATGAAAAAAGGCCTTAGTTGAGAGGTAAAAGTGTAAATTTCCCTTTTGTTTTCCCTATAGTTAAGAGGGGGAAAAGTCGGAAAGAAACGACGGCGTTATGACCTGCCAAAATATATTTGCCTTGATCTCAGTATAGTTTGTCGACCAAATCGCAGTATTCGCTACTTATCATTGGCGTCTTCGAATTCTTCAGACTACTCTCCTCCTCTTCACATTCAAGATTTGCCGAGATTAGGGTTAGGGTTTTATTTCTGTTGAAGAACTTTCTCCAAACATGGACCGCCACAGAGGCGATAGGTACGGCAACAACCCTGATTCGCAGAGGCACTCAAGAGGACCATCTCGCTTCTCCGACGGTCCCATGGACGACCGCCGCGAGTACCGTCGCAGCCCTAGCAATTTCCGTGTCGGATTATCCAGTGGCGTACGCGATCGCCGTGCTTTTGATAGTCCTCCTCGTTACCCTGCTGATGGTGATGGGGTTGGATTTCGCTCAATGGGTGGTGTCGGAGATGGCGGCGGTGCTGAAGGGTTTAGTTCGTACCACCAGATGCCTCCTCTTTCTGGACAGAAGCGAGGGTACAGAGGAGGGTCTCCAGGTACGAATTGAGATTTTTGAAAGGTTCTGTGCTTTGCGTTAAACAGCATTAGTTTTTGGCTGACTATACTTGCTCGTGAACACACACAAAAGCATGCTCTCTGCTCTTTCATAATTTCGATTAGAGTCGTTCTGAATTTATAATTTTAATGCGATACTTCAGCTTATTGATAATTGGCATTAGGGTTGCTTCTTGTATGTTTGGGGTAATTGATTTCATTTGATGTTATGGAAAAAAAATCTTCATTTTTTCGTCTCTTTGGGATGATATACTTGTGAGATATTTTATACTGATGGTAAAATGCAAGCGAAACCAATAGATGGCGGTAATTAGGAGGGGTGGACTGGTTACAGTTTTTTTTAATTGTACACCAACTGTGCAGTTTATTAAACTCAAGGAGGGGGGAAAACTTTGGAGATCAGAAGCGTTTACTGATTGATCTTTTAGAGCTTAGTTTAAGAGATGTAAGGGCTTACAAAAATGAGAAGCTAAGGACTTTGCAGGTTGAAACATTAGAAAATTGAAGTAAAGAAACAGTGGTGGCAAGTTATGGGATGGAAGAATTCTGTTGGTAATTAAAAATGGAGTGTGAAGTTGTCCAAAATAATATTTATTTTTACAGCTTCGTTTATGCTGTTTCTGTTATTTTTGTTGGGGTTGTTGCCAATGTGATAGCACCGTTATTATAGTACAGTACCTATTGTTGCTGAGAAGTCGACCCCAAATAGTTGGAATTAATGCATTGTACAGTTTATCTATTGTTGTTGATACCTGTTTGGCTGCTTCAATATTATAATTGAGTATTTCTGTATTCTAATTGAGATTAGGTGATTGTTCTTAGAATGGCTACAAAAAAGGTTTTGTGACTTTCCTTTTTTTGGCTGCTTATGTTAGCTTGAGTAGAGTCTTTGAGCTTTCTCATTTCTTGCCTTTGGGATTTATAACAGATGGTGATGGTCTTTAGGTCAAATAATGTGTTTTATAAATGTTCCTACCTTTCCTGTGTATATAAGTTTATTGGCCTGCAGCAAATCTGAAATGTAAATGTTTAATTCCATGTAATGAATATATATATATATATATATATAGAACTAGGAAGTTGAATTCTAAACTTATTAAGGTATTACAACGGTCAAGATTGATTAAATCTTTATCTACTTTGATCCAATAATACAAAATTCATTCCAACTTTTTTTTTACCGTCCAATGTCAGACAACTTCATCAACACACTCTCCAATGCCAAAAAATCCCATTAATTCACACCTACCTAGAGATCATTTTACTTTTAAATTGCATAATTAAAAAAACTAAATTATTATTTAAAATATAAATATTGCAAGAGCAGTTCAATTTTTGATATTGTATAGTGTCTTCAAGGACGGGGTTACTGCCTGTGTGTGTGTATATTTATATATATATCCCTATGTTCATTTGATGTAGTCTTCCTAGTATAAAAAGATTGACACCCAGGAAGTTTTCTGCTTGCTTTGGGTGTTATATGGAGCCTATGATACTGAACATGAAGATTTGATGCTTTGCCCATCATTGTTATAACTGATTTTGTTTATATACACCTTAAATTTGGTTATTGTTTGTTTAATTTGTGATTTGTCTTTTTTTGATAACTTCGATTATTGTTTTTCTCCTGAGGTACTAATGTTTTTTTCCTTAGACCGCTTGGAAGGAGGCAGCTTTGCTAAACTTTTTGTCGGATCCGTTCCAAGGACAGCCACTGAAGAAGATGTAAGTTAGTCACTTCATGCAGCAGTTGACCTGCATACTATAAATTGTTTTTGAGATTGGACATTATTTTACATCTTGTTCAGTTTTTAGCTTACTAAGCTGTGGTGCTTCATAGGAAGATACTGAAAATATTTAATTAATGTCCCTTCCACAAATTGCAGTGATCCTATCTTTCATATCTAGTTGTGTACATTTGGATTGTGTGTTTAACAAGCAATTATAAATGGCTGTATGTAAAGTTTTCTGGCGAATGATTCATTTCTGCTAAGATACTTCTTATTTGATGTCAGATCCGTCCTTTGTTTGAGGAACAGGGCCATGTTTTGGAGGTTGCTTTGATCAAAGATAAGAGAACAGGACAACAGCAAGGTGTGTGCAAATAGCATATTTTATAAAAACAAGCGTGATTCATACCAATATCTCTTTTCAGGTCCTTTTAGGGGCTGAGGGGACAACGGTAAAAGCATGTTTCGTCTCAGTTAGTATTTGCAACAATTTCGGGCTTCTGTGTTTTGCTTGCAACCTTTCCTTTATGCTCGTCTTGTCCACCAAGAAGAAGACAAGAATAAGCATACAAAACCAATCTATTTTTGTGTAGCAGTTGGAAATTAGCAAGCTGTAGCTCTTGCTCTGTTACTGGTTGCAGCAGATGGGCAATGTGCAACACCTTTTGCAACGGGAGTGTCTGATATCATAACTTAGTTTTTATGTGAAGATGTGTAGAATCACTATTGTTTGTCACAACACTTGGATTTTTGGTAATAAATTGGTATAAACTATGTTGAATGTGGAGGATTTCTATGGTTTTTTTTTTATCTTTTTCTTGGTTATCTAGGAATTTCTCATTCAATTGTCTGGGAAATTTTATATATAATTAATGATTTTGGAAAATGAGGTGGGTTTGCAATTGGTATGTCAATCAGCGATGGTTTTCTATTAGTTTCAGTTAGTTCTTAGATTTCTTGTGACTTGCCCCTTCAATGGATTCAGTTGAAATTCAAGCAAGTGGTTGGAGTTGGTGATTCTTTGCTTGGTTGGGACCTGAAGTGATTATGTCATTGGCATGTTGTCTCAGGTTGGTTTTTCCATTTTTTTCATTTGTGGAATGGAGCCCATGATTTGCACATCAGGGAGAGATAAGTGAGTGCACATTTGGTGCTATATAGTCTTGTGAGGTGTGACAATTCTGATCCTATTTGGCTGTTGTGTGTGAGACACAAATATGAGTGCACATGTTTTGCTATATGGGCTTGTGAGACATGACAAATTTTGATCCTATTTGGCTTGTATGTGAAATCTCCTTGCATGGGATGGCAATGACTTATGGTCTTTCCTTTAGATGGTGGTTCTGAAACTTATGGGTTGTTTTCATTCTTGGGTGATTTTAAATTGTGTATGGCATTGGCAAATGATTGTTTAATTGTCTTATGTAGAGGATATTGGTTTTGTGATTTGGATTTTGCTTTAAAATATTATCTTTTGTGGCTTTTGAGTTTGGTCTTGATGTTGGATGATGATGTTATCCATCAGCATGTGTGTGAATTTTTGTCTATGTTGGTTCATTCCATTTTTGGTTCACTTCTGTAGATGTGGGGGCTCAATGTGAAGAATGTGTTGGATGGCTCCTTTTTACTCTATAAATCTTCTCTTAAAACTTAATTGATTCCAATTTCATGGAGTTCATGGTTGAAGTTGGGATCTTCTAGGGTATTTGAGCAGCAAAATGTTTTGGCGATTTTTTGGTGTTATGGATTGTTGGTTGTAATTATTGTCATCGTTTCTGCAACAAATTATGGGTTTTATTGGTTGTATGGTGGGTTTAGTGTTGGTGGTAGGTCTATGCTGATGGCAGGGCACCTAATCCTGTCATGGTACATTAGCGGTATAAATGAATGTGTCCTCTGTGATGACTGAATCAAGCGTATCTTCTTCCACTTACCATTATGCAATAAATGTGTGGTGTTATTGAGTACTGTGGCGCAGCTGTGTGCATGAGATTCGTTACTATGATTATGTGAGGGTTGTGGTGTGCAATTGAGTACAGAGCAGTTGTGTTCATGTGATTAGTTACGTAAATGCTCATATTATCCATACTCCAGTTAAGAATCTGATAATGCTTATAGAATCAACATTGGAAAAGTTGCAAACGAAGGAGGTGGATTTGGTATAGAAGTTTCAGATTGTACAATTGTGAGGGCTTGCTTAGCTCAATTGTGGGCCAGTCCACGACGTTTCAATTTGTTTCTTTGTCGATCATGGTGTTTCATTGGCTATGTCGAATTGTTGTGATGTTGACTTATACAGATTGCATATTGTCTCTTTCCTGAAATGTTTGGCTCATCATACATGTACTTCATGGCCAGAATGATGGAATAGTGTGTGTACTTTGTATAAGATGCATTGTGCACATATCAAAGTCTATCAGTGTTGTGAAATTATTGGTGCAATGAGATTGTTTCTTCCATTTCTGCCTCTAGAATGTGGCTGATCATGGACTTAATTTCTGCAGACTATGGAATTTGACGTGCACACTTTTGCACTTTCATGGGTGGATTTTTATGTTCATTATCAAGCCTCGTCATGTTAATTGTTTTTGGTGTATGGATGCAAGTTAACTTTCGTGTCCTCTGATGCTTGCCTCCCAAATTCTACAGCTTATAGCAAATGGACATCTTTAATCACATACACCACGGGGTTTGCTTCTGGTTAAATCATATACCTCATTGAGTGGAGCAAAGCCCCTCTGATACAATTTAGCATGTTTTTTCCGTTATGTTTCCCCTACTTTGGTTGACGAGGTGGAAACCTTAAGAAAAGAGGGGAAAGACTCAGATTAAATTTCGATAAGGGGAATTGTTTGGGAAGAAACAACTGATATTTCTAAATTGAATGGTTTAACTTTTCTAGATATATGTTGAACTCCAAATTTGTAGGATGTGTCTTTCCAAGTCTGGCTTGTGCTAAATGTTATGTTAGATGAAGTAGTAATGTATTTGTTCTCATTTTCCATCCATCCTGCGATGTTTGTTTGACGATGTATTAATGAGATTTTAGCAAAATCTTGAAAGCATTGTCCATTTCGAGTATTATACTTGCAGTTGGTTGCATAAAAAGGGCGGCCTAGTGCATGAGGCTCCTACAGATTTGGGAGAGTTGGATGTACACAATCTTTCCTGCACGTGCAGAGAGGCTGTTACCGCGACTTGACCCCTCGATGCCTAGTCTGTGTTTGTAGTTGGTTGTATGCAAACAAAAAATATGATGACACATTATATCACAGATTCCATATAGGACTCTGCTGATTGATGCCCTGTTATGATTCAGTTAGCATAAACAATAAATTCTACATGATGTGTACTGGTGCCAATGCTGCCTATTGTTGGGTTCAGGTGTTGCAAGGTTTTATTGGCCTGTTTTGGTTGTATGGTATATGATATGTGGAGGATTTATTCATGGGTGCTAAAGATGCAAAATAAGTTGGGGTTTTTGAACGTTATTAAGCTGTAACCAGTAAATTCTTTTTTGCGCGGTTACAATCATTGGAGTGCATTGAACGAATTGGTGGGTTTACAATTGATAATGAGCAGTGGTCATGATGTTCATGTTGAGAGTCTGTACAATGGTTCTTAATGTCCTTATGAGAGTAGTTTAACAAGATGATAAAAAGTGTGGCAACAATTTGTTTTGATGGATTTCATTGATGTTTGAGAGTTCTCCCCTCTGTCCTCTTCTTATTTTGTTACCGTTGATCTTGTATAATGGTAGAATGCAATGCTAGTGGCTGTTGAACAGCATCATCCTGGTCTCTTTTAGGAGTTAAAGGTTATGATGGCATAGAGAGGGGTCTAAATATTTGACGCTGAGTTAAACAATACAACTATGACATGGCTGTCGATGTATGGAATCGTATGGTGTGCACATGGTTGGTGTTTGGATGTAAATAGTAAATTTTCAATGTATTTATAGAACAATATGCTCTTTGGTCTCTGCTGCTCACATCATTTATGCATCCATGTATGGCATGTGTACTTGCAATCCCTCATGTATTATTTACATGCAATAGTATCTAGCTGCCTGAGCGTACCATTTCCGGGTAGGGGTAAAAGCAATTGAATGAAATCAGTATACAAACGCTTTACTCCTGCAGGATGCTGTTTCATAAAATATGCTACTTCAGAAGAAGCTGACAGGGCTATAAGAGCTTTACACAACCAGCATATTCTGCCTGGGGTAGGTTTTCTTCTGCTCTGAGTAAGTTGACTAGGACAAGTGTTTGACTGCATAACCATCTGTGACTTTTCAGGGAGTGGGTCCTATCCAAGTCAGATATGCTGACGGGGAACGAGAACGCCTAGGTAATTTTTTTCCTTCAATATGTGTTACTTTGTAACCTTCTTTTCCTCCATGTGTCCAGATATTTATATTGGAGAATGCTTTCTCTGCTTTGGGAGATCCTTCAAAATTTTGATCCGTCGGTTGTAATTGAATGCTACTTTAGCAGGAATTCACTGGCCCCCTCAATTATTTGTCTGGAGTTTCTTTTGGAGTGTGTATTTGTAGCCTTTATTTTCATGCTGCAAGTCGTTATAAAAACACTTGTTCTTCAAATTATCTTGTTGAATATTGTCTTTCATTGAAGTATGTGTTTGTTGAGGACTGATTTTGTAGTGAGAGATGTTGACTTGAAAGAAGCCATGGGAAGAATATTGTTCACTTCATAATCATGATTCATCAGGTTTTGAATATGGCCTTGTGAATTTTGCTAAATAATCATATGCATGAGTCATTGTTCTTTTTTGTTAAAGTATCTGACTCAAAACTAATTGGCAATGAGCGAAGAGATCCCTCAACCATGTAAACCAAAATTGGGGGACCCTAATCATTCGATGTGCTGATGTAAGATACAAGCTCTCTTTACACTTTCGTATTTTTCTTCACTTTTAATTGCCATTATCATGAATTTTTCATGCCCCATAGACGGAATGATGCACGATATTATAGCCACTAAAGTTGTTATCTCTTAGTATGGATGTGACTGGGTGTGAAGAGGTGAAAGCTTGCATGGTTTGAAGGGAAGATTTAGGGCCTACGCTTTGAAAAACCACAGCAAAAACTTTTTTTGGCATGAATTATTGAATTATTTTTCCCAAACTCTCTCCTACTTTTGTCTTTACGTGGTGATGCATCATTAGAATGCTGAAGACCTAATTTTTCACAAAATTAGATGTAAAGCAACCATTTGTATGAAGATCAATTTCATTATTCCTTGTACTTTTATGGGTTCAAATAGTTACCAGAATTCCCTAAACTGGTGACGACCCACGATTTGAGTACATCAATCCAAAATAGGGTGGGTTTGCGATTCATATCACCAAAATGTACGACCCCAATTTGTAATACTAACTCTAAATTGATTCACTTTGGACATGTAGCCCAAATATAAAATATATATTAATTGACTACGTATATATAGATTTGTAATTATATGTTATTTTAGATAACAGAAAGTCGAGAACAAATGTAAGATAAATGGTAACTTACGTAATATTTATGGATGTTCTATGATAGTGGTGAAAACGATCAAAATAAGAGTTTTAAAATGAATTACGACCAAAAATAGCATATCAATTAAGCTTACTTCCATCGTATTGCGTATCTAAAAAAGTGTTGCACCGGGTACTCTGTACAATGTACCAAAGCGGCCCACGATCCTGGTAACATTGGGTTCAATTCACTGAGGAATTATTCTGCTTTTTTTTTTATGACAATCAAATGGAAGCTTGGGATTACTTGTGTCCTCAACAGTGTGCTTTTGTATGTCTTGTGTGAAAAATTGGGTTCGATATGTGACCTTTTAACCATTGTTACTGTTTTCATATGTACATTGATATTGCTTTCCACCTTCATCATGTACATCATGAGCTTTATCTATTGGGGGATTGTGTGCACAACGGCACACATGTATTGGATCTCAAATATTTTGTTTATTACCTGAAGCCAGTAATGAAAAATTTAGTACTTTTTGTTCTGAGAGTAAGTTATTGTATATAGGGCACAACTATACTATGTTCTGTTGACTGGAATAGGAAAACTGGTTCTTAAAAAAACAGAGTTAGACTGATGAGTCACAGAATATCGTGAATTGATATGCAAACAACTTTGTAGATGAGTATCTAGCGATTGTTTAGGCATTACTCCTTTGTCTACTCCTTGCTGGTGTTGTTGACAAAGTCAATCTTGACTAGACGATCCATCTTATATGCTGTTGAGTTACATTTTGGTAGACTTGCTACCATGGTTCAAGTTCGTGGTGTCGGCCTTCGACTTGGAGGACGCATCAGCTGCTATGTCCCGACACTGTATAGGGAGATAAAGACAAAATGCTTGATAGAAGAAAAAAGGTGAATATGATGCGAAATTCAGGCCATGTTGTGGTGTTGTGGAACTGTGTTGGTTGATTTGATGACCTGGATGGCTCCTGATTAATGCGTTGAAGTCTTGGATGACTGAACTGATTCGGTTGAGCATTGTGATTTATATGGAACATGGAATGAAATCACGATGGAAGGTGACTAGTCACAAACCACTCTGCTCAGTCGAATTGGTACCAGTCCATACCTTGAACCATAACATAAGACAAGTTATTAGAACAAAGTTTTATAAAACGTTAAATATTTGATTTTTGCTTTTTGGGGCCATGACTTTGCACAAGAGTTCGTTTTTGTGTTGTCAAATGTTTGGGTGCGAGTTTGCCATTTTGTGCAGCTAAAAGCTAAAAGCAGCTGTTTCTTTTATAGTCGCTTCACTCATCCACTTCCTGTTTGAGTTGAACCATGAGTAGTTACGGAATATACAATAGCTTTCGAAGGGTTAGGTAATCATAGGTCTGTTATAGTGATTGTGTTTTGCTTAATTTCTTTGCTTGTATTTTCCCATTAATTGTGAAGACATATGTTAATTGAGTTAGGGTAATATATTTTTGCATATATATGTGATGGAGGTATTATGAGGAGAAAAAATGGACTGGTTATACATTCATGTTGATGGAAGAAGTTCTTCTCATTTCTGTGATTCCAACCCGAATGGAGTGCTTTTTTAATACTTTATTAATGAAGATTTGTTTTATCCTTATTGCAAAAGAGTATGGGGTGGCTGCATATTTCTTTTGTCACATATTCTTATTTTTCCATTTCTTTTATTGTTCCCTTTTGTGTTAGGTGCAGTTGAGTTCAAGTTATTTGTTGGCTCACTGAACAAACAGGCTACGGAGAAGGAAGTTGAGGAAGTATGTTTTGAGTATATTGATTAGCCTATTTTTCTTATGCCCTAGAATACGTTTCTTCTAATGCATTTTCTCCCCATGCTTTTTATTTTTCTTTGGGGAATGGTGAAACTCTCTCTCCCTCCCTCCCAAAAAAGGATAAAGAAAAAGCTTGTGCTTCAGTATGAAATTTATCTTCAAATTTTCTCTCTTTTCATCAAAAATAATACTAGATGTTTTTCTCCACATATTTAGTGTTTATATATGAAATAGTTCAAACTAATAATCCTAATACTGGGTTTCCTTTGCCAGATATTTTCACCTTATGGTCGAGTTGAAGATGTCTATCTCATGCGTGATGAAATGAGGCAGAGTCGTGGTTCGTCCTTTCGCATTTATGCTTAGTTGTTTTCTTGTTGGATTTTGTAATGAAGCTAGCCTGCATATAGTGGGATTCGAAGCAGAACTCTTTTTGGCTTGGCTTCTTCTCCCATTGGGAGAACTTATATTGGTATCTTTGAAGTAAAAGAAGTCTTTACTTCAGGTTTGAAAATGCAATTTTTCTTTGAAAAGCGAAAGATGCAATAAAAATGAAATATGGACTTCCCTAAATCTTGGCTCGGGGTGAGATCAAGAGTCAAGACTATCTACGAGTACAACTGTATGTGGGGTGAATAAAAGGAAAAAGAAGCGATATCTTGACTTTTAGGGTATATTTTTTTCGGTGAAATGTCAGCTATCATATGTAACAGTACATTGATATTGATGTTTCTTTCGAATCTATTGCATGTATATTTTGTAGGGTTTTCTGCAGCACATATTTTTGTAATGTTTTTTTTTTTCATACATCTGCTTCCCAGACCCCCCTGTGCATTGGATCATCTTTTTTTTTGTTCTATACTGACATATGGTCCAACTGTTTGAAGGATGTGGATTTGTTAAATTTTCTCTTAGAGAAATGGCGCTGGCTGCTATAAATGCTCTTAATGGAATCTATACAATGAGTGTAAGCTTACTTAATTGTTTAATGCTGCTCTGTCATTTGATGTTTTAGTTGAATCCTGTTCGCTGACTGTGTCTCTTTGCATCTTAGGGGTGTGATCAGCCCCTAACTGTTCGGTTTGCTGATCCTAAAAGGCCTAGACCTGGAGAATCAAGGTTTTTCGTTAATCCATCATTACTATCATTTCTTATGTTTTGAAGTGTGTACCCTTAATCTTTGTAACAAATGGAAATGTACTGGTTGATGTTTCGGGCAAAAAGAATGAGGGTACTTCCGACTTCGTTTAATGTTAAGAGTTTTGTATAACCACGAAGATCTATCTATGTAAAAAAAGCTTAATATTTTTGTCTTAACTGTCTCTCTTTTGGTAGCATTAAAATTATCTTTTGTAAATGTGGGATATTCTTTCGTCATTTTCTTTTCTTCCAGGGGTGGTCCTGCACTTGGTGGTCCTGGTTTTGGCCCTCGGTTCCAAGCACCAGGAATTAGGTAATCCTCATCTTATTTCCCTTGGTCATCTCGAACTGTTTTTATTCGTTAATGTTATCCATATTGAATTTCTTATATGTACATTCCTCATGAAAATTTGCTATGTTACTCTTGCAGACCAACACAAAATCTTGGAGAGGCTGTGCATGGCCATATTCCGCTTAATGCATGGCAACCAGTTAGTCCTCAGAATATGGGACCACCTTCTAATGCTGGCATACATGGGTTTGGGATTCAATCGCTTCCTCGGTCGGGTGATATGGCAATACCTTCAACTCTGGTGAGAAAAAAATTGAAGATTTATAAACTGAACCATTGGACTCTCTCTCTCTCTCCCCCTTTTTTGGGAAGGGGGAAGGGGTTGAAGTCATTATTATTAACATGTGCGAACTTGTCTTACTGGTGGGACCACCTATTAACATCCTCTCTTTCCTTAATTTTTGGATCAAATAGTTTTAGACATGGTAGTTATTTTTTTATTTATCTAGTCTCTTATGGTAGTTTTTGTCATTTTGTCGGCATCTCTAACATGCTTTATGATTTGCAATAATTTTTTAGGGTGGCCCCTTTGGTGGTCCCAGTGGTGTTGCAGATGGTTCCCACCCTGGACAAGCAGCTTCATCTGCTTCTACATTGCACCAGGTATTGGCTGTTGGATTTCAGCTTTTATCCAATTCTGTTGATTTGTTTATTGAAATTACAGTTCTTTGCCCATTTTTTGTTTCATATTGTTTCAGAGTTTTACTCAATCTTTGCCACAAGTTTCATCTGTTGGCCAGCAAATATCACCATTACAAAAGTCACTTCAGTCACCACAGCTCTTGCCATCTTCCCTGCAGCTACAACCTCAGACTCTAGCATCTTACCCGCAAAGGCAAATTTCTGATGCATCACCCTGGCAACTTTGTCAACAACTACCTCCCACTGCTGGTCAACCCCCCCTCAGTCAGGCATTGCCATCACAACAGTTGTTTGGTTTGAATGGACAGCTCTCTGTTTCTCAGCCTCAGGTCCAGCAGAGTGCTTCATCTGCTATAGCACATGCCCCTTTGAGTAGTAATTTACCACATGTTCTTTCTTCCATGGCCAATCAACAGCAGTTGCCTGCTCAGCAGCAGCAATTGCTTCAACCTCAACATCAATCACCTTCTTCTCAGTTAGCTCAAATGATTTCACAGCAGAAACAAACTCTTCAGGCGAGCTTTCAAGATTGTTTGCAACATCTGCAGATGATGCAGCCATCAAATCAAAATTTAACAGGGCAGCAGGGTTCACAGGCTAATAAACAACAGGTATTATAAATCTGAACTTTTGGACAATCTAATTAATTGATTAGTTTGATAAAATTGTCAGGATACTCTAGGACAACATCTGATAATGTGGTACTGCTTGGTTGTTACTTCCTAACTTCTGAGACATGAGNGGGCAAAAAGAATGAGGGTACTTCCGACTTCGTTTAATGTTAAGAGTTTTGTATAACCACGAAGATCTATCTATGTAAAAAAAGCTTAATATTTTTGTCTTAACTGTCTCTCTTTTGGTAGCATTAAAATTATCTTTTGTAAATGTGGGATATTCTTTCGTCATTTTCTTTTCTTCCAGGGGTGGTCCTGCACTTGGTGGTCCTGGTTTTGGCCCTCGGTTCCAAGCACCAGGAATTAGGTAATCCTCATCTTATTTCCCTTGGTCATCTCGAACTGTTTTTATTCGTTAATGTTATCCATATTGAATTTCTTATATGTACATTCCTCATGAAAATTTGCTATGTTACTCTTGCAGACCAACACAAAATCTTGGAGAGGCTGTGCATGGCCATATTCCGCTTAATGCATGGCAACCAGTTAGTCCTCAGAATATGGGACCACCTTCTAATGCTGGCATACATGGGTTTGGGATTCAATCGCTTCCTCGGTCGGGTGATATGGCAATACCTTCAACTCTGGTGAGAAAAAAATTGAAGATTTATAAACTGAACCATTGGACTCTCTCTCTCTCTCCCCCTTTTTTGGGAAGGGGGAAGGGGTTGAAGTCATTATTATTAACATGTGCGAACTTGTCTTACTGGTGGGACCACCTATTAACATCCTCTCTTTCCTTAATTTTTGGATCAAATAGTTTTAGACATGGTAGTTATTTTTTTATTTATCTAGTCTCTTATGGTAGTTTTTGTCATTTTGTCGGCATCTCTAACATGCTTTATGATTTGCAATAATTTTTTAGGGTGGCCCCTTTGGTGGTCCCAGTGGTGTTGCAGATGGTTCCCACCCTGGACAAGCAGCTTCATCTGCTTCTACATTGCACCAGGTATTGGCTGTTGGATTTCAGCTTTTATCCAATTCTGTTGATTTGTTTATTGAAATTACAGTTCTTTGCCCATTTTTTGTTTCATATTGTTTCAGAGTTTTACTCAATCTTTGCCACAAGTTTCATCTGTTGGCCAGCAAATATCACCATTACAAAAGTCACTTCAGTCACCACAGCTCTTGCCATCTTCCCTGCAGCTACAACCTCAGACTCTAGCATCTTACCCGCAAAGGCAAATTTCTGATGCATCACCCTGGCAACTTTGTCAACAACTACCTCCCACTGCTGGTCAACCCCCCCTCAGTCAGGCATTGCCATCACAACAGTTGTTTGGTTTGAATGGACAGCTCTCTGTTTCTCAGCCTCAGGTCCAGCAGAGTGCTTCATCTGCTATAGCACATGCCCCTTTGAGTAGTAATTTACCACATGTTCTTTCTTCCATGGCCAATCAACAGCAGTTGCCTGCTCAGCAGCAGCAATTGCTTCAACCTCAACATCAATCACCTTCTTCTCAGTTAGCTCAAATGATTTCACAGCAGAAACAAACTCTTCAGGCGAGCTTTCAAGATTGTTTGCAACATCTGCAGATGATGCAGCCATCAAATCAAAATTTAACAGGGCAGCAGGGTTCACAGGCTAATAAACAACAGGTATTATAAATCTGAACTTTTGGACAATCTAATTAATTGATTAGTTTGATAAAATTGTCAGGATACTCTAGGACAACATCTGATAATGTGGTACTGCTTGGTTGTTACTTCCTAACTTCTGAGACATGAGACATGAGACATCATCATTTGATTAGTTGTTCGGCCCCTGGAAAATTTGGGTTTGAGATTCTGTATTTTCTTCTTACTGTTGAGTTTGGTTATAGGCATAATATATTATGTATGATAGACCAACTCTAAATCCAAGTTTCACTATAGTTGTGTCTCATGCTTAGGTGTTGGTAAACTTTTGTGTTATGACTGCTTTCATCTTGTGTTTGGCTTAACTAGCTTCTTATTGATTTCCTGTGTGTGTGTGTGTGGATGGGTGGGTGTGTTTGGAGTTTTGTTGGGGGTCTTCGACAAGTGGAGCAGTTTGTCTTGTTCAAAACTATTCTTTCCTGAAATTAAATCCACTTTTCATTTCCAACCTCACATATTATGATGTCCTTTTGTTACATCATGGGATGAGGATTTTGTCGTTCCTGCAGTTGCCTTGGCCTGGGATTGTCCCACAGACAGTTGCCAACACCCCTGCTATACCAGCAGTGGGAGATGTGCCTCCTGCTACTTCTGCTGTTCCAATAGCAAACCGGGCTGTAGCTCCTGCAAAATGTAATTGGACAGAACACACTTCTCCTGATGGTTACAAGTACTATTATAATAGTACAACTGGTGAAAGCAAAGTAAATTTCTTACAATCTTCATCTTTTGCTGTTCATGAAATTTTATCACCCTTGTAATAATTTGTGACAAATTTTGTTGTGGTGGACTATAGTGGGAAAAACCGGAGGAGCTTACATTATATGAACAACAGCAGCAGAAACCATCAGTTCAACAGCCCCAGATGCTGTCTCATCCTCAAGGTCTGTCCACACAGCAAATTCCTCAGACACAACAAATGCAGCTCCCAGTACAAATTCAGACACAGCTTCAAAGCCAGCTTCGCCATCCTCAGCAGTTGCTCCCAACTTCGCAATCTTCATCGGTCGGTGATAGTTGTGTTTTTTTTACAACATTTCTAGTTTTAGCTGTTTCCTTGCTTATTTTGTGGTTTCATATTTCAATATCAGACTCCAGGAGCTGCAAGGCGCCAAAATATTCAGGTAAAGTTTGTTGTGATTGTAGTTGTTTGAGGCTAATGATTTTTATTTAATGAGGAAATTGAGTGAAATATTAGTAGACTGCAGCATATTTTTATGTTGGAATTTTCAGTCGTGCACATGATATCCAAACCATATTGGCATTGCATATGAAAATTTTATTACTATGCAACTATATGCTTTTGTTCATTGGAACACCTAGATTTGAATTAGTTTATGTGAGATGAAACAGGATTTGTGATTGTGATGGAAAAGGATCTTATCCGAGTGTGGGCTGCCTCAGTCGGCAAATCTTTTGTTTCTTTAGTGAAACTTCCAGTTCTACATATATAAATAACTGTATTATGTTCCCATTTTCTGGTGATATCTGTTAAATACTATGTTTTGAGTCTTCAGCCCATTATTTAGTTTCTCCGACTCAAGTCCATCACTTAAGGAAGTTATGGACTTGAAATATCCTCTGGCCAGGTATTGTGGAGTTTTGATTATATGTTTAATATGCTCAGGCTCAGCAGTCATGAAAATCTTCTTGTTAGAACTGCCATGGTCAGATTCCTGCAGTATGAATTGTGTGCTAGGTTTGCCTTATCAAATAATGAGCATAATGATTGAAACTCGTGGCTTCTTGTGAACACTGACCATATAATTTGCTTAGGATTGGTTATAGGTCGTTAAATTGCTTTATTTGCTGGACAATTCCTTTCTTTGTTTTTTTTTTTTGGGTTTCTGTTATGGAAATTAATAAACAGGTGGTGGAGGAGGCAGGAAATGAAATGCATCTGGATTTAGTGGAGTGCACTCATAAGCCAGATAGTCACCCATAAAGATAACCACCTTTAATTATGGTCAAACTTAACAGAAGCATATAAAAGGAAACCATTCTTTGAGATAAGGTAGCGAGATTTTGGTGATCCATGCTGTGATACATGCAGATCAATGCATGTTATTATGGTCCATAGTTGAAATTGGCCTATAAATTGCTGCTTTAGTCTTTGTAATGTTTGATTATCTGGTTCATTCAATCTTTTGTGGCTTGAGTCTTTGTAATGTTCGATTGTCTGGTTCATTCAATTTTTTGTGGATCTTTTGACATCGCAGGAATTTGGCTATACACAACTACCTGGAGCAACTAGTTCAGTAAATGATCCTGCGCGTTTCCAACAGGTACGTGTTGCAGACATCTTGACAGGCTCAGACTTGTGCTTTTGGTTAACCACTACCATCTTTTCTGTCTTTCTCTGCCGCAGAGTCTTCAGGCTGCTCAGGAGTGGATGTGGAAAAATAATCCTGCAGGTTTGTATCATTTTCAGTTGCATAATGTCTTGTGTAGAACTGTGCTAGCTTGATAATTGGGGGATTGAATAATAAAACATTTGTCTGCCTGGTTGATGTGATACAGTGGTTGCAGTTTCATGATGCTGAATTTGTCACCTGCAAATCATTAACTACTTTTATTTTAGCGATTTTTTTTGGTGATTGTTGTTTGTGGGCAGATATACTGCTTGACTTGTAAAAATCTGTTCTAAATTTGCTGTGGACAAATTATGCTGCTGGTAATAGTCTGAGAGAGAGCACTGATGGAGGTTGCAACTGTGCTGAATGTTCTTTTGGGGACAGGAACCGAAAAGCTTAATGTTAATTTCCGCGTAGAACATAGATCAACAGTTGCTGTGTTTCATCCTTCTTATTCTCTATTTGCTATTTATCTTAGGAACTTGAATCTGAGGCTGCAAATTGCCGAGCAGCTTCTGTTTGGAGAAAGCTGCATAAGTTGAAACGTGAAAGCAGATCTGGACGAATGGCAAACAAGACACAAGAGGATGCGCCCAAGGGGGAATGCAGCTGTGCATGGTTGGTTTGAAACCTAAAATACCAATTTCGATGTGTAACATGAATGTGCTACAATAGTTTTCTTCCCATGGTTGAGGCTTAAATCACAGTTCATGAGTGATTCATGTCAGTGAATCAATGCTCGTGTGCCATTAAGACGGGCATGAATGCATCGACTCTGTCATTGCTTACCTCCCTAGCCTAATCTTGCCGTTCGTAGTTATTCTGTCTTAACAATATATGAATTTGTTTGTGCTCCTTTATCTTTGAATTATCCAATCTTGTGCATGGTTGTGTGACGGGGAAGAATTTAGGTTTGTAGGTGCTGATGTTCATTTGATTTGTTGCATTCTTCTGGGCAGTTTACATGTGCTTTGTAGCACAGCAGGTAAATCTAATTCCTAGAAACTCCTCTGAAGGGAATGCCACCCCTTGATTTCTTTATGCAGTGATGGGTGATTAGGATTTCATTCATTTTCCATCTCTTTTTTCTGTGTGTCGTATTGCCTTCGCTGAGTATTCAAGTGGATTTCATCTACTTATTTATGTAGAGAAGCGACTGATGAGAGTCTGAATTTGTCTAAATAAATCCCCACCAGCAAATTTGTGGCCCGACATCTACATGATGAGCATATGACCGGACAAGCTTTGTAACTCGAGGGATGACTGGGCTTACCCCATCCACCCGGAAAGCCTGCTGGGTTCTCACCATTATCCGTCAGCAGAAATGCATGTTTGACATTCTTTTCTGTGGACGTATTATATATTGCTTTGGTATCATTCTGATCCAATGTGATCAAAGCGATGCCATAACCTCCCATGCGACGCTGATCCCAAGCTGCCCATTTTAAGCATAGACCTCTTAAACTCCTCGAAGGAGACTGTCGGGCCATCTGTGTAGGATTTTACAATTTGATGAGTCGCGTTGTATCCAGACGAAAGCTTGGTCCGATGTTTTTCCCATTGGAATAAAATTAGTCCATGCAGTTCCAAAGGATGGACAATTGGGTGCAAATCAGCAGCCCATTAAGAGATCGGCTTTGGGTTATTATTATTTGGATTGGGCCAAGATGGGACCATCTCACCAAATTATACCCTTTCAATGATGATCAAAGAGGTACTTCCAACTCTACACAAAGCCTGGTTGTTTTTCTTTCCCTTTTGTGAAGTCCGATGGTACGTGAAGGTTAGCCTAAATTGTGATGTGTCATTCGGGGTCTTGAGCCTCTTGTTGGAAAAGGTAATGATTTTTTGGTACGAAGTTGTGTTTTTGGGTACATCAGGCTGAGAGCAGTCTCCGCCCTTTGTGTTTTTGTTATTTATTTATTTTTTGTGTGGAGGACGGGTAGGTTAATTATGAATAATCTAATGCCCACATTAAAATGCAACTAGAGAATTAATTATCACATTCGGACATTTGTCTATGCTTCATCCCCTACTGTCATGGTGGAGGTGAAGCATATGTTGAATCTGAAACTACGTATGAAACTTCCGTATGTCACCTGCAATTCCATATATATATCTTCAGAGATTATAATTACTTTTAGAAGTGGAATTACTTTTAGAGAAAATGATAGTTTTTCGAAATTTTTTGGTAATTAGCATAGGAGGGATCTTGTTTTCTGTAAGTCACATTAGAGGCATCTACTTTTTGACTAAATTGCCTACGAATGGGACTGACAATTTGATTGCAATCTTTTCTTTTTATTTAAATGCCTCCAACACATTATTGAAATAAAGAACTGAAAAAAATAATGTTAATTGCCAGCTAAGATGAATATTGTTACCGACTGTGTATGGCACATAATGTTCGAATTCATACAAATGTGAACACCCCTTTACAGCCGAAAATTCTTATGCACCCCCAATTCTTTTTGCATAGTTATCCTAAGTTCACATTTTCTCCCGTATGTAGCAAGTCACCCACGTCTGCAAGGAAAAATAGCATTTCGCCGTGCGAGTACTTTGGGCATAACTTTTTTAACCAACGGGCTTTAGTCCAATGATATTTTTTACTTTATCTTTTTAAGTTCAAGGGTTCAAGTTCCATTTTTTCAAAAAAAAAAAAACAAAAAAACGACTTTTTACGTGGGTCTCAAATTGAGCTGATTTTTCTCCGATGTAATTTTGTTTTAAACTAAATAATTAGCAGCCCATTATTTGTAGTAATATGAGAAAAATCATATTCTAAGAGAAATTGAGTACTTTAAAACAATTACGTAGAGAATGAATATACATTGTTCCCTATCCCATACAGGGCCAACTAACGGGGGGGGGGGGGGGGGGGCAA